ATGAACCCGTGATTGTGACATTATTTGGGGGGGAAAGGGGGTTTGGGATTTTTTTATTAAAAAAAACTTTTTATTTTTTTATGGTGAAAAAGTTTATGTTTCGATTCAGCCAGCTGGACTCAGTTTAGATGATCCCAATTTGGTTGGCAGCATCCAAAGCATCATCGTCAAGAGACAGTTGAACATAACATGCCTTCTTCTTTCCATCGGGCCTGGTCAGGGTGTTGACCTTGGCCACATCAGAGTCCTAGAGCTTCTCCACAGCCTGATTGATCTGGTGCAGATTAGCCTTGATGTCCACAATGTTATCTTCTGTTTTCTTCATGGCTGGTTCCTCTGTCCCTCCCCCATGCTCGAGCACTCGTTCTTTTTCCCTCAAATAAATAAATAAAGTCTTTTAAGGAATGAAATATGAAATTGTTTTTTTTTCCTAACAGCTGATCATGAAATATCACTAGGGGCATATAACTCGGAAAGAACTCACATACTTTGATTTGGCTGATGGACTTGGCAAGGTGGAACGGCTTTGCCAGTTATATGATGAATTCCTTTCCTAAGTTGAACGAGGTAAATCGGTTATAAAGTTGCTATAAAATACATTTAAGACACTTGATAAGATTAAAGTATTTTAGCAAAAATATGACATTCTCAGTTCAACATTTGTATTGAAATTAACTGTTTTGATTGACCCAACTCTGAGGACACCTTGTTAAACAAGATGCCTCCAAGTGGAAGAACGGCGGCCACTCCACAGAGCCACCCCACGGAGAGGCAGGAGCCTCTCCCCGCTTTCTCTCTCCTTCCACATTCTCAAGTCCTGTGGTCCATGAGGTGCCCTAGCATTGCCCCATTTTGTGTCCTCCTCTCTAACCCGGGGCTCTCGCTCAGCTTCCACTCACTCCACAGGACTCTAGGGAGTGGCGTTTTTAGACCATGGAAGGAGAAGAAGGCAGTGAGTAGGGAGCTCTGTGGCCTGGTCTCAGGATGGATTGTCTCTAAGAGATACACTCTGAAGATGGCCAAGATTAACTCTCCAACACTCTCGGTTACTACTCTTATCGGGAAGCCATCAGGAAAATAGAAAGGAAGCAGAAGGAATGGAAAGAGAGAATGAGTCTGAGACACTTGCCAAGACAAAGGTAAATGGATACAGGAATGAAGGAAGAGAAGGGGGTGTCACGATAACACAGCCAATGTCAGGTGTTGCTGGAGACAAGCAGTACTCCTGTGGACATGAGGTTCAGATAGGTGGATGTCCCCATAAATACCTCCCAGGGGCAAGATCATGTACATCTGGGGGTCCCTTGTGCAGGGTTAAGAGTTGAAACCAAGATAACTAAAGAGTTCTTTCAGGCAAAGGATGTAGATGGAGAAGGAAAGAAAGCTGGAGGTTGACTCTTGGGTTTTAACTAGTTAAGAGCTAGGAAGAAAGTTCAAAGGAGGCAAAGAAAGAAGACGGAGAGGAGGGGGTGAGGAGGGAGGGGAAGGAGGAGGAGGAGACAGAGACTGGTATAAATAGGACAGTGTTAGTCAAAGGAGAAGGGGTTCCAAAGGAAGAGGGGAAGAGTGATACTGTTTGTGACCGAAATTCAAATACTAGGCAACTGGTGAGGAAAGGTTCCTTGCAAAAAGGAAAATCTAAACAAATGGTGAATTTTAATTTGTCTTGCATAACTGAATGCCTAATGAAACATCTGTGCAGGGATTGCATTCAGTGTCACCGAATGAACTCGTCGCACTCAGAGGACTGCCTTTAGTTTTGTTGATGCTGCTGAATAAGATACACGTTGCTCTCTCAAGAAACAGCACCTGAATGTTCATTACAAGCGAGGAGGGCGAGATCAAAGGAACTTCCTTTCTGTACTGTGCATCCCTATTCATATGACATTGACCTGCCGAGCTCTCTGAGGGAGGAGCCCCTTTGGGTCTGCTGTGGGTTAGGTAGACACCCACTAAATATTGATGCCTGCGTAATTAGAGTGACTAAAATAATCCTGGCATAAAATTACCCTACCAGTTAGAAGAGAGACAAAATGAAGTAATTTGATCATGAAAATTGATACAAGTCGATTCTCGGTTTTCAATGCAGCTAATTGGAAGCCATTTATTATTCAAACCCCACTTTTGCTGGTTGGTTTATAGTCTTTTCTCCTTGCCCTGAGAAAGAGGAAGGGGGGAGGAGAGTCCCATGGGCAAAGCTGTCATATTGGGATGGTGGAAAGGAGAAGGATGCTTATTTCTCTAAGGCAGGGCCCCCTCATCTCTTCCCTGTATTGATCTGGTCATCTACGACACGCTTCTGTGGGCATGTCCAGGATGACTGGCCATCCTGTTCTCTCCTACTCAAATGAAATTGCAATTGCAACAAAACAGACATTATTGTAGGTGTAGTCTTATTTTTTTTAAGCTTTTATTTATATATTTGTGAGAGGAGGAGGAGAGAAGCAGCCCCTCCCCCCAAGCAGGGAGCCCAATGAGGGACTCGATCCCAGGACTCTGGGATCATGACCTGAGCCAAAGGCAGGCACTTAACCAACTGAGCCACCCAGGCTCATGGTATAATCTTTTGAAAATAACAGCTTTATTGGGCTCTATGATTCACATATCATAAAATCCACCCCTGGAAAGCATGATTTACAAACCAGTGGATGTTAATGTTCACAGAGCTGTACAATCACCATATTGCATCACTGTAGAGAGAAACCCTATTCCCATTAGCACTCATTCCTGTGGCATCCTAAACGTCCAAGCTGCTGGCAACCACCAATCTGCTTTCTGTCTCTATGGATTTGCCTACTCTGGCCATTTCATATAGATGGAATCATGAAATGTGCGGTCTTTTGTGACCGGCTTCTGAAACTGGCCAATAGGAACACGAGCTCGGTTTTCCTAGGTTCATCCATGTTGTAACATGTATCAGTACAGACGGCCCCTGACTTAGGACTTAGGATGGTTCAACTTGTGATTTTTCAACTTTACCATGGTGAGGAAGCAATGCGCCTTCTGTAGAAACTGCGCTTCGAATCTGGAATTTGAAATGTGGATCTTTTCCCCAGGTCAGCAATATTTAGGATGACCCTTTCTCGTGATGCTGGGCTGCAGCGAGCCAAAGGTCTCCGTCCACCACAGGATCCCAAGAATAAACAAGTGAGCCACTTAAAACCATTCTGTTTTTCATGTTCAATACAGTATTTGATAAATGACACAGGATACTCAACGCTCTATTATCAACAGGGTTTGCGTTAGATGATTTTGCCCAACTATTGTTTAGTGGAAGGATTCTGAGCGCATTTAAGGCGAGCTAGGCTAAGCGATGATATTCGATAGGTTAGGTGTAGTAAATGCATTTTTGATGTATGATATTTTCAACCTACGATGGCTTTCTCGGGACATAACCCCATTGTATGTCAAGGAAGGTCTGTACTTGGTTGCTTTTTACAGCTGGATAATGTTCTGTTTGTACGGGTTTATCATGTTTTATCTATCCATTCACCCGTTGATAGACATTTGGACTGTTTCTCTTCTGAAGCTATTGTGAATAATGCAGACGTGAATGTTCCTGCACAGATTTTGCACATGTTGTCTTGAGGGCGATCCGTAACCAAGAGCAGCTAACATTGCCCAGGAGGTGTCTGCGGGGGACACAGACCTCACCTCATCTCGTCAGTTCAGGACCCCTCCGTGCAGAGCTGACGTTCAAATCCCTACCACTCTGACTGCAAGATCTGTTTCTTACCTCCTTGCTGTACTTCCTCTAAGTCTAAAGACTAGAAAGGGAAGTTATTCTTTGCTTCACGCTCACTACTGTACTCTAGGTAAGACATTAGTCATGACATGTCCTAGCTGATCACAACACATACTGTTTGAAAACTGCCAAGCCTGAAAGTGTGGCCTCCTGGAGAAACGATCTTGAGGGGCACAAGGAAGCCCACAAAGTGTATCAGGATAGAGTTTTTCAGATGCCACAGTTTCTTGAAACCACAGGAGAGTCCTAAGGAAGCCCCAGTATCTGAGTAGCATGAAGAACCATATCACAGCACAGACCTAGCCAGCACCTGTCCATTCCTCAGACGTAGCACACTCCATCCAGACTCTACGCTTTTACCCTGTTATGTCTTCCACCAAAATGTTCCTTTCTTCTCTTCTTGGGCCACCTCCTACTCACTCTTCAGGACTCATATGATAAGCCACTTCCCCAGGAGACATTTGAGGAGCTGTGCCCAAGGAAATGACGGGGACTGGAGAGAAAGCCCATTCCTCAGCCACCTCGGTGTGGAGCATCCTTTAAAAGCACAGCCTTACAGGATTCTGGCGTGCAGCAGACGCACCTGGTGTCCCGCTGCCACCCCTTCACACCTACTGGAACTGGAAAAAAGAGGGAAAATCAGGGACACCCGGAAAACATATGGACACACATAAATGTGGAAACTCAGAGATGGAGGGTTAAAAAGACACATGCAGAGTGAATATTCAGGACTCTTGGGGAGCCTCATCGTCATCCTTCCACCCATCAGCCATCAGCCATCCAAGCCCTGCTGATGGAGCTGAGACACCCTCCTCACGCTTCCCTACATTAACCAGGCATTGTGCTCAGCACTGTGGGTACACAAAGACGGAGGCACACGTCTAAAAGCTGAAATTGGAGGTGGCGGTAAGCGTAGATGTGGCCCCTGAAGCTGCAACAGTCGGGCGGGGCACGCAGGGGACATTCCGGGAGCAACCCCGGGGGCCCAGCGCCGGTGAGCACCGACGTGAAACCTGCACATCGTAGAGATGCCGAGGCCTCCCGCCTTCCTAGAGAGGCCCGGAAGTGGCTCCGCCGCGGGCCGGGCGCAGGGGTGGCGGAGGCGGGCTCGCGAGGCTGGGGCTCGTGGCCGGTCGCCGTGCGCAGGTGCTACCGGCGTCCGCGGCTGTGAGCGGGCCGGGGGCGGGGACGGGGGGAGGCGGGGGGAGGCGCAGAGAGCGGCTGCGCGCGGTGGCCGGCCCGGTGGGCACAGGCGCTGTGGAGGGCGCCCCCCGTGATGGCGGGAACTCCCCCGCCGCCTTCCAGCTCTCGGTCGGATTAGCAGGGCGCCGCGGCTTCCGAGAACGCCGCGCGGGACTCGGCCCGGCCGCTGGGTTCTGTTGTTTTGTCTTTCCTTGTTTTTTGTTTTTTGTTTTTTGTTTTTTTTTTTAACAAGAGCAGCCCCGGTCCCGAGTTTCCCGCAGGCCCGTCTGGCTGGACGTGCTCGTTCGTTCTCCTCCCACGGTTCCTGGAAATCCCACCTCACCTTAGGGCCGGCGGTTCTGGTTTCCCATCCCAGGTGGGAATGTGAGGTTCGCGCTTAAACTGAATGTCTGTCTTGTAAAGAGGGAAATTTGAACAAAACGTAACTGGTGAGTGGTGCGTGGTAGCAGCAGAGGTACCGGGTGTGACGGACGCTGTGAAGGTGGCAGGTAATCACCGCATTGCCCCAGCCCCGGGGGCGGCCCCTCGCCTCAGTAAGAGCCCAACCTTGGGGGTTCGGGGACGCACGTGGGTGGCGCAGTGCGTTTGGACTCCGGGTCTCAGCGCTCTGATCTGGGGGTCGTGAGACTGAGCCCTGCGTGGGCTCTGAACTCAGTGCAGAGTCTACTTGAGTTTCTCCTCCTTCCTCTCCTCCCCCCTGCCCCAGCGCCATCTCTCTCTCTCTCTCTCTCTCTCTCTCTGAAACAAGTAAATATCAAAAAACAAACAAACGAAAAACCTAGGCTGGGGAGTGCTGCCCATCTGGCTTCAAGCCCTGGGTCTAGCTCAGCCACTGAGAACCAGTTCTGGGTGGGGAGTTTAAGATTTTTTTTTCTTCCAGTTAATGGAGATAATTGACATAACTTGTAGTTTTTTTGTTTGTTTTAAAGATTTTATTTATTTATTTGACAGATGGAGATCACAAGTAGGCAGAGAGGCAGGAAGGGGGTGGGGGGGAAGCAGGCTCCCCGCTGAGCAGAGAGCCCAATGTGGGGCTTGATCCCAGGACCCTGAGATCATAACCTGAGCCAAAGGCAGGGGCTTTAACTCGCTGAGCCACCCAGGCGCCCCATAACTCTGTAGTTTTAAGGTGTGCAATGTGATGGTTTGTTATACTGTGAAATGATGATCACAGTAAGGTTTGTCAACATCTCAGGCACCTCACATAATTAGTGGTGTGTGTGTGTGTGTGTGTGTGCGCACGCGTGTGTGCGCTGAGCTCTAAGGTTCTAGTCTTGGCAACTTTCAAGTATGTAGTAGGGTATTGTGGGCTGTAGTCTGGTATACTGCTATGTATTGGGGCCCCAGAACTCATTCTGTCCTTACTGGGAAACATGTACACTTAACCAACATCTCATTTCACCCAGCCCCCAGCCCTGGGTCACCACGATGCTGTCCCCCTGGAGTATATGGACTTTCCACATAGCGCTATGCCCTCAGCTAATTTTCTTCCCAAATGTGTCTGGCCTTTTAGGTTGTACACCTCACATCTCTTTTACCTGTGTCAGGGTTACTCCCCTTATCTTTCCTAACTTCATCTTTATTGTTTTGACTGCTTGATATTAAGCACAAATAATTTTCGGATCCTGCATGGAATTTGAACAGCACTATTTCTAAACCGTCTGGCCTCAGTGTATTTTCCTGATCTCAATACCGGAAGAACACAGTTCCGTTTTGCCTCTAGGTAGTACTTGGTTAGTAATTTAAAACATACCACCACAGAGTTAAACCACTTGGAGCTGTTTTTATCAACCTTGAAGCAAACACAGTAAAATTTTATTTTTATGAAAGCGGTCTTCCATTCTTCTTTCTGCTCTGGGCTCCAGGGGCACGTAGATTTGTATATTGCATTATAATACCAGAGGGTTAGTAGCCTTATCAACTCGAACTCCAGGGATAAAGGAGTTGTGTAGGTAATCTAAGGTTCTTATTATTGATCTTTAGCATTTAATTAGGTCTTTGTAAATCTAAAGTACCCATAGTCATTTTTATGAGTTTTCTCATAACTTCCCTGTGTGATATCAAATTTATTACCCTCACTTTTATCTTAGTATTATCAAGAGGTCAGGCGGATTTAAATTTCATTTTTCCCTGTTTGTAATTAAGATTCCTTTTCCTCGATCATGTACTTAACTTTAACCCATATCCACTAGAACGAGTGCTCAGGTCAGATGTGACCTTCTACCCTCCACCCAGAGGAATACAGTTAGTTACGAAGCTGGGTTTTGAAAGAGCCTTAAAGCAATTGCGACTATCAACAGTGGTGTGAGTGCCCAGCCCCAGCAGGAATCAGATGGTAACTAATTAATAAAAGAGAAGCCATAAAGTGTGTAAAGATCAGGCAGCTGGTTGAAGAAAAACTGTCTGCTCTTCTCCCTTCCAGCTTAGTGTTCTGGGGAGTATCTTGCAGTTTTCTGAGAAACGTGTCTATTGCATTTTTTTCTGTGCTTATTGATATAGGGAGCCAGGAAGGGAGGAGCTGGGTTTTGCCCACCTGGTGGATAGGCTGCTTTTCCTTGCTGTTTGTCTTGCTAAATCATTACTTTTTCCTTACTCATTGCCACCTTTCTTGCCTGACCGTCCTAATCAGGTCAATATCCAAGTTCTTGCTTCAGATCATTATGGAATGAGTTCAGGGTAATGAGGAGTAACGTGAGTAGGCCTGGCAGGTACTCTGACACGTTAGTAATTTGAACTGATACATTCCCAGCATGACTAATGTGCACATGTGCACAATGACCACATTGTGGTCCTGTGACTGCACTGGAATGTGCAATTTTAAAAACAAAGAATAATTAGAGTATTAAGAATTTCTGTTGCAGTTTTTTTTTTTTAAGATTTTATTTATTTATTTGACAGAGATCACAAGTAGGCAGAGAGGCAGGCAGAGAGAGAGGGGGGAGTAGGCTCCCTGCGGAGCAGAGAGCCAAATGCGGGGCTCCATCCCAGGACTCTGAGACCATGACCTGATACGAAGGCAGAGGCTTTAACCTGTCTCAGTTTTCTTTATAATTTTTTTTTAAAGATTTTATTTATTTATTTGTCAGAGAGAGAGGGAGAGCGAGCGAGCACAGGCAGACAGAATGGCAGGCAGAGGCAGAGGGAGAAGCAGGCTCCCTGACGAGCAAGGAGCCTGCTGTGGGACTCGATCCCAGGACGCTGGGATCATGACCTGAGCCGAAGGCAGCTGCTTAACCAACTGAGCCACCCAGGCGTCCCCTGTCTCAGTTTTCTTAAATGAACTCTGAGGCCTGGTCCATATTCTGAATCCCTTCTCATGGAATTCTTGTGGTGATATTAAGAATATCTTAAACTTTGTTATCTGGCATCCTGTTAATCAAAGTAGAACATCTGTTAACCAAATGGAACATTTAGAAAAACCTGTGTGTGCTGTTTCAGTGAATGACTGCACACTCTTCAGACTATACCTGGACTCTGCCCCCTGGGCTATAAGTCCCTCGCCAGCTCCTGTCCTGTTGTCAGCTCCGCTCCCTGGCATTTCTTTCTCACAGGTGAGCCTCTAGCCCAGTCCCATCACCTTTACCTGAGATTCTTCGGTTTCCAGACTCTCCCTCCCTCCAGGGAAAGCTTGACCTTTAGCAAGGACCAAAAGGAACAGGCCTGTTCAGTAAACATACAAAGGCTTTCAACTGTTCACAGAATAGAATCTACACTCCCCCACCCCCCACCCATCCAGAAACTCAAGGGTGTCTGAAAGCCGGCCCCAGGCCATCTTTCCCACCTTAATCACCAGCACCCCGCTTTGGCTTCAGTTTGCATACCAGCCACGGACCCACCATATGGCCTGCCTGTTGTTGTTCCCTTCCTTAATGATGCTCCCTCAGCATGTGGTAACCTGCCTGGTGGTCTCAGCCCACCAAGATCTTCCTGCTGTCCTGATTGACCCCTCAGTGAAGTCTTCTCTCAGACACCCTCCACATTTCTCCCAACACCCACCCAGGTGCTCCCACAGTACATGGTTTACACCTTGTTTACACTGTTGTATAAATAATCTTATTTTCTCCTTTTGGCCTCATAGTTTAGATATTTGCAAAAGGCTCTCTCTCCATCCTAACTTCCAGAGAGCAGGAAATCTGTCTCATTTAACTCTGTGTTGTTTTTATTCCATGACCCAGAATCTGTTAGAAGATAAGTTAAATGAAAATAGCAGTGTTTGTTGACAAACATGATGAGTCTTAGACACTGCGGGGCTCTGCGTCACTTGAACCCATTGTCTTACTGAGCTGGGTGTATTTCACAGTGGTCTACATGGTCCTTAATTTGACCGGATACTGGTTGAGTGTCTGCCACGTGATAGGTGGTGGTCCAGACTCGCCAGTGGGAAAGGTAGACGGTCTTAGTTCTCACGGAACTTAACGCTCTGTTGGAAGGAGAGCAGTGGTTAAAGAAAAAGTCAACAGATAATGTTAGGTTGCGAAATGTACCATGAAGAAACAAAGCAATATTGAAGGTGAGGGGAGCTTGAGCGTCTCTGATTGAGCAGATGACGTTCAAGCAGACCTAAATATTGAAGGGAAGAAGTCAGGGGTGAAGTGTCTGTTATGCCTGAGTTTTCGCATCGGAGAGACCACCAAGGAGCCAAGCACCGATGCAGTCATACGAGGGTTTATTTGACAAGCTTAAGCTTGGGCCCAAGTATACCCGACACAGTGGAGTAGGGACTTGGACCCCGAGCCAGATTATAGTCAGAGTTTTTAAAGGCAGAGTAGGGGTGGACTCCGCGGTGGGTGAGGACAAAGGGGGTTTGGATGATGTAAGTCTCTAAGGAATTTTGGAAGCGAGGTCTCCAGGACCTTGAGGGGATAAGCTGTTGTCTGAGGAAAAGGTTATTCATTACCAATAATAAAAATCTTCTTGTGAGACCCTTTAGATGTGTATCAATGGGTCATATACTTGGGAATGATTCTTGACACTATCTTGGAGGTTTAGAGATAAAGTTTCCTAAAGGAATTGTTAAAGTAGACTTACAGGATTCTGGTCCGACTTGTCGGGGTAGGAGGTCGGTCAGGCTAGGATTGTCCTTAGCAAAATCTCAAGGTGAGGGCAGTTAAGTCCCCAGGGGAGAGCCACTCTGTTTCAAGGGCTTGTCAATAGGTGAGGAATTTTAATGATTTTCTTCTCCCTCTGTTTCCCACATCAGCTAAACTTGAGGTGGGATGGCCTTAATTTTCTCAGCCTCCACATTTTCCCCTGAACAATTTTGACCCTTAAATCTTTAAGGTTGTTGAAGGTGGAAGGTCTCATCTTCTGTAACTTCTTCCTGCTGAGTAGGGGCGTAGAGTTGTCCCTACCTACTTGGGTCAACATTGATCATTTAAGGAATGTGTAGGGGAGTTACGAAAGACGGAGGCAGCTGAATCCAGGGGTTAAAATCAATCATTAAAGGAGAGAGAGACTGTGTAAAGTGCTAACCTGTGTAGGTCAGAACCCAAGAAATATTTTGTGATAATCTGGAACATCAAGATGGCTGCACTTATGTCAGGGCTAGACTCGGAATGGGTACAGCCTTGTTTTTCTTGGCCTCCACAGTGTCCCCGACTGACGTGCACTGTGTTTGGAAACAGCCTCGGTGGCCTTCCCACCAACCAATTGCTGCATGATGGACTGGTTAGCTTTCCTGGCCATCTGATGTCCTTAGCACGCTCATCCGGAAGAACTTGTCAGGCTTTTTGCAACCCCGTGCTCTTGAGAGATACAATCATGGTATGTGGAAATGTAGAACAACCCATCACCAGACTAGAGCTTGAAGAATAGGTGATTGGAGAAATGGGTGCATGGAGAGCCCATCGCATAGGGCTTTTTGCTGGGGCTTCGTAAGCCTCTGAGCTTATCACCAGTGCCCCTTTTTTGCTGTAGCAGTAGGCTCAGAGGGGGGTCAGTAACACTGTTGCATACTTCTTTCTTACAGGTCCAGCCATCTTTTGACTGCCACACATGGACTTCCAAAAATCCCCAAAGGAAACTGTCCTCATTACCGGAGGAGGTGGCTATTTTGGTTTCCGGTCAGTGCCTCCATCACACATGCCCATGGAATTATTTCCCTGATAGTTGCTGGAAAAAAATAGAGCTTTCAATGCTGACATTAATATAGTATCAGCTTCTACATATTGGAATAGTGTTAAACCAGAAATGAACTAGGTTGCCCACTGCGTGGGTGCTGAAATTCAGAACTATAGATGTATTCTACTTTAAGAAAAATTCTTTGTAAAGGTATCAAGTTAGGGAGATAACTGGTGTCACCAAAAGCGTGTGACAATAATAGTTATTCTTTTGCAGCTTTATCATTCATAAATATGCCAAAGAACGGGTGGTAGTTTCTAAAACAGAGGGAAAAATATGGGACATGTAGATGCCACGGTATCAGAAGATAAAGCTTCTCAGTGTAATTCGAGGAGATGTGTGGCTCCCCAGTTTTGAATCTTCGCATACTTACTTAGAGAAGTAAGGGTTGCACCCGTGAACATGGAAGGTGAGGGACTCAGGATAAGCCTAGAAGCCGTGGATCAGCCATACATCAGTTGGTAAATTATCTTACGCGCTTTTCCTCAGGCATAGCTTACCAGCGATTCCATCTGACTTGCTTCTCATTGCAGCCTGGGCTGTGCTCTGAGCCAGAAAGGATTCCATGTGATTCTGTTTGACATCAGCAGCCCCGTTCATTCCATTCCCGAAGGAATCAGGTTTGTCCGTGGAGACATTCGCCACCTCTCTGTGGTGGAGAAAGCCTTTGAGGATGTGGACGTCACGTGTGTGTTCCATGTTGCCTCTTACGGCATGTCCGGGCGGGAGCAGCTGAATCGGAGCCTGATTGAAGAAGTCAACGTGGGGGGCACAGACAACATCCTCCAGGTCTGCAGGAGGAGAGGGGTACCAAGATTCGTTTACACCAGCACTTTCAATGTCGTCTTTGGAGGTCAAGTTATCAGAAATGGAGATGAGTCTCTGCCTTACCTACCTCTTCACCTCCATCCCGATCACTACTCTCGGACCAAATCTATTGCAGAGAAGAACGTGCTGGAGGCCAATGGTACCAGCCTGGTCAGAAGTGATGGTGTCTTACGAACCTGTGCTCTGCGGCCGGCTGGCATCTATGGACCTGGAGAACAGAGGCACCTTCCCAGGATAGTGAGCTACATCGAGAGGGGTCTGTTCAAGTTTGTGTATGGGGATCCTGGGAGCCTGGTTGAATTTGTCCATGTGGATAACTTGGTACAGGCTCACATTCTGGCCTCAGAGGCTCTGAAAGCTGGCAAGGGCCACATTGCCTCTGGGCAGCCCTACTTCATTTCAGATGGCAGGCCCGTGAACAACTTCGAGTTCTTCCGGCCTTTGGTTGAGGGCCTAGGCTACACGTTCCCATCTGTCCGCCTGCCGCTGACCCTCATCTACTGCTTTGCGTTCCTGACAGAAGTGGTTCACACCATCTTAGGTCAACTCTACAACTTCCAGCCCTTCCTCACCCGCGCAGAAGTTTACAAAACTGGCGTCACACATTACTTTAGCCTAGAGAAGGCCAAGAAGGAGCTTGGTTACGAGGCTCAGCCATTTGACCTCCAGGAAGTAGTAGAATGGTTTAAAGCCCATGGTCATGGCAGAAGTCCTGGGAATCGTGACTCTGAATGTCTTCTTTGGGACGGGCTGATGGTCTTACTCTTGGTTCTAGCAGTTCTCACATGGCTGCCTACCTCTGTGGTTCTGTCACTGTGAGGGAACTAGAAGTAAGCTGATCACACTTGCTGAGGTGGTTTTCAAGAAATACAGGTTTAAAATATCTATAGATCTAAATATATCTGTATAGATACCTAGATGGATAGAAATAGATCTCTGGTAGCAAAGTTCGGCTCTTCTAATTGCTACTTCAGAATAGATTCTTGGATCAGGTCTTCATTTCTTACCTTCTTACACTAATCCTGATAGGAGAAAAATAGAAGCAAAGACAAGTTTGAGATATAATTTCTTGTATCCTCTTTTAGATGAGTATGAAAGAAGTGGCATTGGAGCCCTGGAGGCAGACTGAGGAAATTTGGAAATGTCTTGAGTTTCTCTGAGCCGAAAATACACTTATTTCTGTTCCCTAACACTCTGCATCCACTGAAAATAGAATAAAATGTGCACTGATGGGGAATGGCAAAACACTAACAGGCTTGAAAATGTGTGAAAAACACCAAATTGGGTCAGATCCCTACAGACCAACCCTCTGAGGAGATGGTGGCTGCTGAGAGGCGTTAGGATTTAGGAATTATTTTTTGCCCTTTAGGATATAAAGGTGTTACACCCGTGTGACCACGTGACAATGTCTGATTTTTAAACAGAACTTTGTCTGACCTCATAGGATTCTTTCGAGGATTAAATTAGACAAGACATGTAAAGTGCCACTCAACACACACGAGCCAATGTTTTTAATATCATTGCTATGCATTCCTTATGAGGGTTTTCTTCTTCAGGGTAATTCTGTTCAGAGGCTGCTGGTGCCACTCACCTTTCCAGAATGTCTTTGTGGTGAGCCCTCTGAGTCCACAGCAAGCATGTTTGAATATACTCAGTATTTGTAAAGTTTAGGTCTCTAAGCTTAGATTGAAATTTAGGAAGCAGCTACAAATGTGATTAAGGAAGATGATCAAGCAGATGATGTTGTTTGTAATTTAAAAATAAAACATAACTCTGGGGCGCCTGAGTGGCTCAGTGGGTTAAGCCGCTGCCTTCGGCTCAGGTCATGATCTCGGGGTCCTGGGATCGAGTCCCGCATCGGGCTCTCTGCTCAGCAGGGAGCCTGCTTCCCTCTCTCTCTCTCTCTCTCTCTCTCTGCCTGCCTCTCTGTCTACTTGTGATCTCTCTCTGTCAAATAAATAAAATCTTTAAAAAAAATAAAATAAAATAAAAAAATAAAACATAACTCTCAACCGATAGACTGGTTTCTCTTCCGGGAAGGACTTGGGTTGTCGGAAGGCAGCCTTCAGTGAAGGATGTTTTGAGCAATGGCGTTGCTGTCTCGCCACTCTTGAGGACTGCTGGGGAAGACATTCAAGGTGCCCAGGAACCAAAGTGAAAAGAAGACAGAGAAACTTTCCCCATTCCATGGTTCCAGCTTCAGAAAAGACAGCATTAAAGCCCAAGGCAGATAGATCGTTGCAGAAGGTTACGTTAGAGTCATGTTGGGATTATTTGTAGAAAGAGGAAGCTCTAGGAATCCTCCCTCGTAAATGCTGCCTGGGTGTTTGGGGAAAAGTGCTCAACTTGACACCAGAAGACCTGCACCATTAGGGAAGATACTGTGTGACCCTAATCCAGTGACTGAAGCCTCTTCGTTTCCTCACTTGGTAAATAGGAATGACTTGTATTTGCCTTTTTTACAGACCCACCACCCAGCTCACAGGGTTTGTTGTGAGCACAAAATAAGATGTCGTGAAAATACTTTTAAGATATAAATCACAACGTCACTATGAGGTAGTGGTAGTGTTCATTTTTGGTAAAATGTTTTTGGAGTCTTTTCTAAAGTTATTTTTTGACGGGGGAGAGGTAGGGAGAGAATCTCCAGCAGGCTCCACACCCAGCGTGGAGCCTGACATGGGGCTGGATCTCACGACTCTGAGATCGTGGATCTCACGACTCTGAGATCGTGACCTGAGCCAGAATCAAAAGAGCTGGATGCTTAACTGATCGAGCCACCAGACACCCCTGTCTTAAGATTTTGCTTTAGTCTCGTGTCACTTTGTGTGAGTGCTTGCGGCATACCCAGTAGTCCAGGTGCTACAGGTCAGGCCGACTTAGAGCCCAGTAATGGCGTGGTGCGTCCACACGAGGTCACTGAGAGAGTGGGTAAGTTCAGCTTATCCACGGTCACTGAGAGGCATTGTAGACTTTCAAATCATGTTTTGAATGAAGTCCTTTAAAAGAATGATAGGTACTTCTTAGTTTTCTTACACTAAGTATACTGAGTACAGTGGGGTTTTGATTGGTTTTGTTATTTTCTACGATCAGGAGATACGCATGAAATTCAGGATGGCTATATGGGATCTGTTGGCATCCAGGCATGAGGGGTTTGGCTATGCCACAACATTTGACACCATTGTCCACACTCTCCTTGAAACAGCTCATTCATTGTTGATGAACTCATTCTTGGTCGCTTTCCTTATATTAATTATCTATTGTATTACTTCAAGACCTACTACAAATTAACCTAAGCCATATCATCTTAACAAATCACCCCCAGGACATATCCTAAAACAACAAACATTATATCCCAGTTTTTATGGGTCAGGCACATGGGTGCAGCTGAACTGGGTTGGTCTTGCATGGGGTCCCTCATGAGGGTCATCTCATGATAATGTGGCACTACAGTCAGACTGAAGCCAGAGGACCCCCCCCCCACACACAATGGCTTATCCACATGACTGTTGGCATGAGGCTCAGTTCCTCACCATGTAGGCATCTCCATTGGACTGCTTGAATGTCTTCATGACATGGTACCTGGTTTCCCCTAGAGCGGGTGATCCAAGAGAGCATGCTGAAAGGTACAATGATTTGTCCTCAAAGGTGACATACTGTCACTTCACAATATACTGCTTACACAGGGCCGTCCTATTCAGTGTGGGAAGGACGTACTCAAAGGTGTGAATACCAGAAGATGGGGAATGTTGAGGGCCATCTTGGAGGCTGGGCTCCTGGTTCCATCTTCGGAGTCATCTTTTCTTTTCCATAAAAGGTAGCCCGTATTCACACGTACATCGCTTTCTCAGCCTGCTATCACCCACTAGAGTATGGGAGGTCCAAAGACCTTTTAACGTTTTGTAGTGTTTCTCTTTTCAGTCCAAGCTGGTAGTGTGCTGCCAGTGTAGTTATTGTGAACACTGTGTCTCCTGGGAGTCTTACTCCACCTCACTCCATTAGCAAAGGTCACACCCACAAATTTCTTTGAGATAAGTCCTTTTCTACCTTGAGCTTCTGCTCAGGCTGCTGAGGGACAATAGCCTTAAGACTCTTAAAAGCTTTATTATTTGAACAACATTTTTAGGCACCCCCTTATGTCTCTCTGAAGTCTTAAAAGGTTTTATAGCCACAACCTCGGTTGTGCACTGTCATTTCCACAATGCCATATTGGCTACACAGGTTAGCCCTGTTCCGTGTGGGAGGAGACTACCCAGGCCATAAAGACCAGGGGATAGGGAATCCTGGAGCCGGCTATCCCACTCCTATGTCTTACCAGTTTCCTTGTCCTCTTCTCCCCTCTGGTGGTAAGTGATAGATTTCTTCAGTGCTCAGTACTAGACCCTCCTCTAATACCGTAATTTCTCTGAGTCCCTGATCTTGTCCAAGTCCCTAGGTTTCATTTCCATCTCTATCCAAATACATACTACTAAACAGAGTTCTAGCCCAGACCATTCTGAGCTCCAGACCCATCTATCCAAGTCCCTCTCCACCTGGGTATGTCACACGCGCCTCTCCACCAACATATCACAGAAGTCCTCCCAATTCTTACATGGTTTCATTCTTTAGTAAATGTCACCAGTATCCATTGAATTTCTTAGGCCAGAAATCTGGATAATCTTCGATCCCTGCCTCCCCTTGACACACCTAACCCCGCTTGAAGCCCACTGACTTTAACTTCTGCTCATACCTCAACGTTGTCCAGTGAACAGGTGTTACCTGTCTTCTTAACTCCAGTAACATCCTCTTTTCCACTGACATCCCCTCCTGCCCTCCTTCAATCCATTCTCCACGGGCCAAGCAAAGTGATCCTATATGTAAATGTAGGTCACTTCCCTGCTCAAAACTCTTCTCAGGTATACGCTGAAAATCCTTTGTGTGAGCCTGATGCAGGCCTTGCCCGACCTGGCCCCTGCTAACTGCTTCGGAATCACCTCCCTGCATACTCCCTTCTCTGCCCCCGCTGCACCAGCTGCTGCCGGTTCTGGCTTCCCAGCTCCTCGCACCCCTCCCCACTCGGTACCTAATGTCTATTGCACATCTTGGCTTCAGCTCTCTTCTTCCAGAGGCCTTCCAGGATCCCTGCAGTGTAGGTGTGGCCCTCCTGCTACCAACTCTCATACTACCTGCTTCTCTTTTACAACCTTTATCACAACTGGAGTCGTTGGTGCAATCATTTGTCTAACCTGTAAGCGCCTTTGTCCAAATGCCTCACACAAAACAGGAGCTCAGTATTTGTTAAGGAGCGTTATTTTACCTTCTGAGGGCGAACACTCCATTCTGGTGCATACGTTAGTGTTTGTATTCTGTTGACTGGGAAAAACGGCCCACCACTATACTAGCGTCATGTGTTAACAAAATCAAGACTAAATGGGGTCTGGTAAATGAGCAAGGCCATGCTCCACGTGACACAGAGCTGCGACGTGCTGTAAGAAATTCAGTGAAGGGCGAAGGATGTGGACAGAGTGGAAAGTTATTTGAGTTCTCTCCATGTCGCAGCTGAAAACAGACCACTTTAAAGAAGTCAGGTCTATTTTCTGAAGGGCAACTCTCTTCCTTTCTCAGGTCAGGAGATAAGGCAGTTGAGGAATTCCCATCAGTTCTACTGTTCCCAGCTGCCCTCGCCTTCCCTCAACCTTGGATTGAATCCCCAAACCTGCGAAAAGCTGCAAAACCATGTTTATGCTTGTGCACATGGGGGTGCTTCTAGACACCTGGACAAGAACCAGCCGGCATTGCCACCCCAACCACAGCTTCCAAGGAAGAGTTGGCCAGTATTGGTAAGTGTGTTGGAGGATCAGACCAGTTGACAGAGAGCCTTGCAGTAGAAACCAAATTGCCTACATCTGAAAGAAAGGAAGAGGAGCCTTTTCAGTGCGTGCAGTGGAAATGCTTGATTTCCTTAGTGCTGTTCTAAACATGGGTGTCAGAGGGTGCCATGTCACAAACGGCAGGTTTCTGGGCACCAAATGACCTAGGCTATAGTATTTCTCAAGGCTACAGAATAGGCCTTGGAGAGGGGAAATGTTTTATATTTTTTAAAAAAGATTTTATTTATTTGACAGAGAAGGGGAGAGAGCACGGGCCGGGGAGGGGTGGTGGGAGAGGAAGAACCAGGCTCCTCACTGAGCAGGAAGCCCCATGCTCTGTTTCCATCCCAGGACCCTGGGATCAGGACCTAAGCCACTCAGGCGCCCCATAGTTGTATTTTGTATTTTTCTAAGTCTCATAACCTGTTGATTATAAGAAAGCCAATACTGTTTTACCGCACAGTTTCACTGGCAGTTGTTGGAGCACCTCCTACCTCGTATTCTTTTCCAAATTCTCTCGCCCTACAAACAGGGTAGAAGAGCTAGCTGGCAGAGTACTACTGCCCGCTCTCACCCAGTTGGGCACCCTGGGCTTAGTGGTCCCTTTGTAAGCTGGTCTTGGCATCCAGCACCAGCAGCTCGTGTCTTCTCAACCCGCCTCTTGTTTGCCAGCATCCCTTGCTTTGGACGATGACGCCCCACCCTGTCCACCCCTATCGATGAGAGAACTCCATTCCCCGCCCATTTCCGGGCTCCTCGTGCAAGATCTGGCCAATCAGAAGGCAGCCTTCCTTGGGAGCACAGACATTGGTCAAGGCGCGACCAATCAGCATCGTGTCTTCTGCTTTTCTCCTGGAGCTGCTGGGAGAGATTCTCTTTGCCGCGCTGACTTGGTCCTTGGGTCAGGATTCGGGCCGCGGGGACTCC